GATGAATAGATGAAGTGATGATGGATGAATAGATGAAGTGATGATGGATGAATAGATGAAGTGATGATGGATGAATAGATGAAGTGATGATGGACTGTTAGAGGTTTAAGAACTCTAAACTCTAAACAATAATCAGAGCTGTACTTCCTGTTTGTCTTCAGGAGATCTGGACTGTCATCCTTTAGATCCTGCCGTGTGGCACGTGAGTCTAGAAACATCCATGTAGAGTTCACCTGCAGCTCTACCTTCACTCAGCCTCCTCACCTGTTCTCCATCTTCCCCGCAGCACCCGGTGACGTGGCAGCCGTCCAAAGAGGGCGACCACCTGATCGGACGCATCACGCTGAGCAAGAGGTCGGCTCTGCCCCGCGAGGCCGGCTCCCTGCTGGGCCTGAAGGTGAGCAGCAGATAATCTGTTGTTTCTCTGGAGCCTGTGTCGTCTCCACACTGTAAACCTGCTCACACCTGTCTGCAGGTGGTGGGAGGGAAGATGACAGAAACAGGAAGACTCGGGGCGTTCATCACCAAAGTGAAAAAAGGCAGCCTGGCAGACGTGGTGGGACACCTGCGTGCAGGTGACTGACGTGTTTGTATGACCTAATTTTTATACAAACACTTTTATTCTGACAGGACTGATGGGCTAGTCTGAGCTAATGGCTAGTCTGAGCTAACGGCTAGTCTGAGGTAAAGGCTAGTCTGAGCTAATGGCTAGTCTGAGCTAAAGGCTAGTCTGTGCTAATGGCCAGTCTGAGCTAACAGCTAATCTGAGTTGATCTTGATAAGTTAGTTCATATGAAAGTTGTTTTATAAATCTTTACATTAATGATAATAATTTCTTAGGAAATAATATTTTCAACATAAAATAGATAGTTTTTAATGTGAAGAGTTGCAGCAGCACGTAGCTGTAGCACTTCCTTTCCTCTGCAACCCGACCACAGACCACTTCCTCAGGTAACGGGTCGTGTTGTTTCCAGGTGACGAGGTGCTGCAGTGGAACAGGAAGTCTTTGCCCGGAGCAACCAAGAAAGAGGTCTACAACATCATCCTGGAGTCCAAGGCCGAGCCCCAAGTGGAGATCGTAGTTTCACGACCCATTTGGTAAAAACGTCCTCGTGGTTTTATCTTTAATAAAACCTGCGGTGGACTTTATTCTGACAGACCTGTTTTGATATTCTTTGCTTCATTTTAAAAGCTCCGTCAACAGAATTATGTCCAAAACCCTGTTGAGAAAAGTGTTTAGAGCTCGTCTGTAAGTAGAGTTACTGGGTGGAGACTCGTTTGTCCTTCCTGAAATCCTCAAATCCTTCAAAAGTCCAGATTTAATTATTATTTTGGTCGTAAGGTTCTCCTCTTCAACCCGACGTGTTCTCTGAACCTGCATGTTTGTCCTGCAGCAGAGCAGACATGTTGATGTTTTGTGAAATGTTTGGACTYTTTCACAGCGACATCCCAAGAATCCCAGGCTCGCCTCACCCTCCGCTGGAGTCCAGTAAGTCTCTGAGGTCCACGTGGGTCCTCTCAGGTTCTCCGGGGTTTTTAATGATCACTAACAGAACCTTTGATTTATCTCCTAGCGGGTTCCAGTTCCTTCGAGTCCCAGAAGATGGACCGTCCCTCCATATCGGTGATGTCCCCCACCAGTCCTGGGACCCTGCGGGACCTTCCTCTGGAGCTGCCGGGACAGCTCTCTGTAAGACACCAAACGAGGACGTGGTCCATCAGAGTGAAGTCCATCTCCCAGTGGGGACAAACGTCTCCTCGTCTCGTTTCAGGTCAAGCTGTGGTACGACAAGGTGGGCCACCAGCTGATCGTCAACGTCCTCCAAGCCTCAGACCTGCCCCCTCGACCGGACGGGCGGCCTCGGAACCCGTACGTCAAGATGTACTTCCTGCCTGACCGCAGGTGAGAAAGCCCCGCCCCCGCCCCGTGCAGTTTCTCCGGTCCTGGTCTGACCCACATCCTCCCTGTGTTCCAGCGATAAAAGCAAACGACGGACGAAGACCGTGAAGAAGAGCGCCGAGCCCAAGTGGAACCAGACCTTCATCTACTCCCAYGTCCACCGGCGGGACTTCAGGGAGCGGATGCTGGAGATCACGGTCTGGGACCAGCCCCGGGTCCAGGAGGAGGAGAGCGAGTTTCTGGGGGAGGTGGGTTTCATGAGCGTTAGGGCTGCGTGGTGTTTGTGACAGACGGTAGACATGTACCCTCTACCTGTCACCAGTTACATCATCACACCTGAGTCAACATGGCTGCGAGTGCAGAGACACCTGAGCAGCAGGAGTTTGAAATATAATGAAAATAAATTAAGAAATATAGAGTTTAAACACGTACAGAGAGAATAAATCCTCAAAATCTCCCCCTCCCACTGTAGAAAAGTTACATCGTGTGGTGGGATCATTTCCTCCTCTGCACGTCACCAGAGCGAAGCTTTAACAACCGTAGCTTTTTCATCCAGGTTGTCGTAGAAAAAACGTGTTTTTTATGTATTGTTACCCACAGAGATGATGAAAAGATGTGGACGTTCATTCATATGGACTGCCGTTTTAGTCAAAATACAATAAATAAATAAATAAATAAA